GCCGTTAACCGAACGCGAACGCCGGCCGGAAACGATCTTAGCAAATCACTTGTAGGATTACAGCCCCGCGGACGGGAATTAATTCTAAGCTAAGTGTTGTACGTCGGGACAGTTATGACGCGACCCGGTGAACTATGCGCGCTACTTGGCGAACTTCTTCCGCGAATCTGGCCTCGGCTCGCACGGCCCGTTGATAACGCCGAATCGGAAGGCATTCGATGATATTAACGACGCACAGTTCTTGCGCCGGTCTCGACTGCCAAGGTTCTCCGTGATTTCCAGAGGGTGCAACGGGAGTTCGAATCTTGCCTCCGACGAAGATCGTTTCCGATTGATTTCGGTATTCCCGGTAAGTATAACGCGAGGTCTACGTATAAACCATGTAGAACCGAAGAACGTAGAACTGCAACTTCGATTTCATCTTGAGATATACCGAGCATCCGTCCTCGTAATGCCATTCGCAACGGAAACCGACAGAAGCTGTCGTTCGAACTCCCTACAGGAACAGTGACGCGAAAGTCTCGATGCAAGACAAAGACTTCTCTCGGTGACCGTCGGCGAAACTTCGCCTCCCCATTCTTCGTTCCGTCGTCAAGATGGAGAAACATTGACCCACATGGCCGTAACATCGACGAACGGCAGCAAGGTCGGTGGAAGGCTATAAATATTCCGTTCTTCTGTGCCGTGTATCATGCGACGCCACGGATCCATGAATTATTAGACCCGGCTGCGAATTTCCAACATTGAGGCGCAGCCGTTAGGAGGAGACAGGTGAATAAATACGACGATCGGCCGGCTCGCGTGGCCGGACCGCTGAAACTTTTTCACGAAACGGCTCGTCGTTTATCGTTTTCCGGCTTGCCTCTCGCTCGCCGGCCGAGCGGCTCGGACGCCCCGCAGGGAGAACCTTCGAGGCTGTCGCGTGTCGTGTTAGATATCCTCCCACATTCGTTTCAAAACGCTCGGCTACTGGAAAAATTCGTTTCCCCCGAACAATCGCGGATGTGGGACGATGAAAAGCCGAGGTAACGAATGCAAGAAGATGCGTCTGAAGACGACCGCGCTAGATCTCTCCGTTCTCGTACGTCGGTGCAGCTCCCCAGTCTTTCGAACCCTTTTTCTCGCGCTTCTTTGAGATCAAGTCAATTAACCCTTAGCATTCCTATGTCGAGTCAGACTCGACATTCTATTTTATTGCCACCTCTACCTGTTTTAACAATTCTTTCTATATTTCTTTGTAGCTTCACAATTGTACCCTTTAAAGGTAACATTTCAATGACTCTGAAATATTCTTGAATAAATAAATGGAGCGTCGTATTAAGCTGTAATCGAATGAACGTCGACGTGAACCTCACAGTGAGAAACCGAGAGCACTTCGACCGCAAAGGGTTAATCTATCGCGCTGAAACGAATTCAGGGAATCGGCAAAGATTTCTGCGAGGAATTTCGTTCTTACCTATTTCACGCGGTGTGTACACTAATTTCGTTTACTGCTAGTTCTGTATAGAGTGATATATTTCAAAATAATCTAGTACGAGTAATATGACACGTCTTTCCAGCGCAAGAGGTTAACGCTAGGTTTACCGGCATTCTTACATACCTATCTCTACCAACGAGTCAATTTAACCTATGAACAAAGTTACACGTTGAAAAAAAACTTAAGAACAACATAATTATACAGTGCAATTAGCAGAAAAAGAATGTAAACGGTTTCTGTAATTTCCCTCGCGAAGTTCGGAACGCGTCAAAATGGCCCGCTCGGTGAGTCCAGTGTCAAACAGCAAGTGAAAAATTACGAAAACGGCCAGCCCGAAGCGAGCGATACGTACGGGACATTTTGTCAGTCTATATATCGAACTTCGTTCAGTACAGTCCAATATTCCGAAGTGTTTTCCTCGAGGAAACGGTATCCGAGAGACAGCCCGACGGCACGCGAGCGTACGGCCCGGAGGAGGATCGCACTCGATAAAACGAGGGCCGCCGGCGGAAGAGTCGTTCTTCCGGTACGTGACGCAAACAGACGAGCAAAACAAGCAGCGAGTCGAGGAGCCTGGATCTGGCAGTGGCGGCGGGTCTCTTGTCGCGTCCTTCGTCTTAATTCCCTCCTCTGTTTCCCGTCCCCGAAACGGGCCGAATATAAATCAGCGCGCTGGAAGCGTCCCGTCGACGCGATAAATTTCAATCGGACTCCGCTTGAAAAATCCCCCGCCCCGCCGATCGATGGCGATCCGATTCGAGAAGTTTCCCCGGCGATGTTCGCTATTTGCCTGCTCGCGACGCTCGGTACGGGGCTAATTTATCGGACCGGGGTCTCGCAATAACGGATTCTTCGAGGCGACCGAAGCGAGGTCCGCGATCGACGAAGACCCCGCCGTTCGAATCCGTCCGGGAAGCAATTCCCGCGAGCGGGAACTTTAAGCGAGTAATTATTTTCGCGCGAAAGGCGATTACGTACAGCCGGCGGAAGTTTCGAGACCGACCGGGGGGACAAGTTGAACCCGCATCGACGCGGCGAACTCGTGTGCACACGCAGCGATCCGATAACGGAATCGCTCACCGGGCCAAGATAAACTGCTTACAAACTTTTCGCGTGATACACGAGCCCGCTCCGCTTATCGAGCCACTCCGCCCGTCAAAGACGCGAGACTGCTTCACTGTAATTCACGAGCGACCTTCTGGCGATCGCAGGCCGCCGATCGAGGGGAGACAACGAAATATCTGCCACGGTTCTTTGCTACCCTTTAACTGTTCGCTCTACGAGGGTAAAACTCGAGTCACGAAGAAGAGAAGCGACAGGGAAAGAGGATCAGTCTCGCTCGTGACATTCATCCTTGGAAATTCTGATCACCGGTGAAACTCGAAGTGCAAGGAGTTAAGAGACTGAAGATTCTTAGGAAGACCTCGGTACGTCTTCGTCGCTTGTTAGTCTCTTCGATCTGTCCTATAGATCCTTATAAAGATTTTCAACCCCTTGGAATGTTCCTGAAAGCTGGTCCCTCTAGAACCCAGATCTTTAAATTTATCTAGATCCGAAGGATCCTATGAATCTTTCTAAAACGTAGAGATCCCTTCGCAGGAATTTACAGAACCCCCGTAAGATCCAAGACACCGTAAGGTGCGAACCTCGAGAAAATAGAATCGCATTCTCGGTGAAATGCGCTGGGATGCAACTCGACAAACTCAATCACGATCGCTCGCAGCAGTAAGTGCCCTTAAACGCAGCGTTAACAGCGAATTCTGTTCCGAGTCTGCTGGCGCGTTCGAAGATCGTTCTCGTGATCCACCGGCGAACCGTGAATCACCGCGTTATCAGCTCCCAAGGCACGTTGACGCGAAAGAGTCCGAGAGCTTTCCGTCTCCCGTAAAACCGCGCCTCGCGTCGATAAAAACGGAGCCGCGAATCGCGTCGCGGACCGGCCTGCCCCGTTTTACGAGCGGTTTTTCCGCGGCGCGCGCGTAATACCTCTCCCGCTTAAATAACAAGAGATAACGACGCGGCATCCAGCCGCGCCGGGGCTTTATCCGTCGGTATAGGCAACCTAATTACGTTCCGGGCGTTCCATCGATCACGCCGGGCCGCATTCCGCGAATGCTACTTCTCGATCGAATCGGCGCCGCGATCGCGGTTAATATCGAGATTGAGATTTCGCCCGGGCCGACAACTGGGTCAAGTGTGCCCCGACGCCTCCGGCCCAACGGATCGGCGCTCCTCTCCCGCGGATTTACATACCATCGGGAAATGAGAAAAATCTGCATCCGGGATCCCCTATCCGGGCCACGTATTTTCGGCCCGGAGAAAAATCTATCGGCCGCCTCTTTAGTCCCCGTTCGATCCGGCAGATTGGCTGACGTTCAATTTACGTAACGACAACGCGATGCCCCGTATAACAATCGTATCACGGTGATCCCCTCTCGTTCCTCCAAATAAATCGAGTCTCGCGGCTCCCCGGAATATCCCCGGCGCGCCTCCTCCTCGATCGCGATCACCGCCGATGAATCACCGTCTAGATTCGCGAATATCGCCGTCGGAATCTCCCTCCGGGAACTACGCTGCCCGAAATCTGTTAATTGATATTTCGCCGGATCGATCCCGCCGACCTCGAGCGAGCCGAACTTCCGAGGGGGAACTCGAGAACCGATCAGCGCGAATTAATAATAATCTCCGTCATACTTATGACTCGAGCTGCCGCTTCGAACTTCGGTAAACCCCGATTCGAACGAAGTATAATCGATTCCGTCGGAGACGCGCGAGACGTTTCGATTTCGGGACTCGCGAAGGAGGTCGGGAAGACGCGCGGCCTTCGCCGGATCGTTAGCGAGTCGTCGAGTAATCTTTGATCGAATTGCGGCGTGTCCGTGCGGTCGGACCGTGTAAATCATGCCGGAACCTGTCTCTCTCGGCGAAACTGCGATGCATCGTTGTAACGAGCCGGCCACGCTATCATATGTCGAGTAATAGATTCGCTTTGTCTCGGTCTACCAGCGCGAAAGGGATCTGTGATGGAGTTGGTCCGTCTTGGTAACGAGGCGCAGGGCCGAATCGACGGGAAACTCGCAGAATCGACGCGAATTTATCATTTCCATCGAGGACAATTAATTCCAGCGTACACTGCGGGTACCGTGGCGGTGTGCTCGAACGGAGGGAAAGGAAAAAACGTTCCACCGGACGCGCAGCGAGCGTCGAAACGGTGTTACCGAGCAATTCCGCGGAAATCGTGGCACGTAGACAACGCAGCGCGCGTTCGTCCGACAGCGCCGATAGCGTGATGTATGACGGTCGCGTAGAGCGGTGCGATTTCGAAAAATATGGCCGAGAACGGGCAGAAAAATACCGTCCTCGGAATTCAAGGGATTCCCTTCAGCCCTTACGCTCGGTAGTTCGGCTTTAAAATATCTTCAGCTTCGTGAGAATATCGCGCAGAAGTTCCTACCTCGATTTCCTTAATGTCTACTCGTTCTATGTAAGAAAATATACTCTAGGAAAATATGTATGCACCTACCCTGATCATGGTGTAAGCCCGACTTTCCTCATGAACCGACCGCTTCTGCTTCTCCGTGGCCGCGAACGTCTTGGCCCATCGCAACCTTTCGTCCTACAAGTGACAACAGTGCATCATAAGAACCACCGCGAAGCAATGAAATCCGCAACATTCGATGATCTCGTGCAAGTCATTCTCCAAAATGCCCGACTCTTCGTATCGTCTATACTACGCACATTTACCGGAACATATTTTCGCAGAAACAAATCATAAAACACACTGTGTTCATTAATCAGCCAGCAAGGAATCAGCGTCTTCGATTGCAGCAAAGATGTTAAGTCAAGCTTCATTCAACAATCCTCGTACGTCATAAGAACGCCGTCAGAGATCTCTGTTCGTCGATGCGCAATGATACCCACCCTTTCTCTACGATTTCTTACGAATCTTTCATTTATTCATGTTCATTCTTATAAATCCTAGTCGTTCTTCGTCGTTCCATAATCGTAACGCGCGCAAAAGAGGAAGTAAGGGAAACACTCTTCCTCGATCCACGGTAACCGAGCGTTTTCCGTCGACTTCGCGTTAAGTTCACGGAGTCGCGGTTCGAGGGGAGAGCCTCTGCATGCAGAAACCGGCAGGAACACGGCTAAAAGGGGGATAGGCGTGTAACGATTCGGCAAACAAGGGCGCACGGTGTATCGCGTCGCGTTACGAATGCACACAACGGCGGAGAGCACACACGAGCCCATCTCTTTTATCGCCGCGTATATATTTGCTCGCATTCGCGCTTCTCCTGTGTACGGCTACGGTAAAAAACGCGCTTACGCGGCCTCTTAAAATGGAGCGGATTTCGCATTGCGGGCTGGCGCGTCGTGGTCGTCGTTCCGACGCGAATTCGCGTGAATTCGTTCGGAACCGTTGGTTCCCTTACGTTTTATCCGCATTATTCCGTCTCGTTTACGACTCGTGTTATTTCGTGTTACTTCCCCTTGATTTTCACCTATGCGTTAGCTTTCAGTTTCATGAAGTTCGAATCGTTCGTACCCGGGACACCCTGTATACACGCGAGCAGTCGCGGTACGCGGTGCTAACGGTGAGCATAAAATTTTATGTCGAATTTCTTTTCAGAAGCTGTGCAGAACGGGAATTCCATTACGGGACAAAATGGCTGTTCGTTTGTCGAGGGCCGGAGGAAACGACCGCGAGGGGAGAACGCGAATCTCGGAAGGGTTGCCACGATAACGTACGTCATCCCGATTTATCCTTTGAGGGACATTACGCCCCAAGGTTAAGTGCCATGGGTAAATTATCCTTTAATACCGTAATTATGGTAAAGTATGGTAATTGAACGGTGAATTTCGCTCGCCGCGAGGCGGCCCGCGGCGCCGACGAAAATATTGTTACCGTTACGCGTCGGTAATGGCGCCAGACCGCGCGACGTTCCCTTCGACGGGCGTAAGGAGCTCGGCCGGCGAGCTTAAATAGAGCAGCCGCGGTATCAATTAGCGCCGGCGGGGATCGATTTTGTTAATGATTCGTAACGCGGGCGAGATACGAGGTATATTAAGCGACCCTGAACGCGAACGTCCCATTAATCACGGAGATCGAGCGGCGGATCGGTGACAGTGCAGGAAATAGTTGCTAACGAGGTATTTTAACGACGCCCGGTGAACTCCACGAGCTTCAGACAGGCCGGCCTCGAGCGAAATTCAATGGAAAGCAACGCGATGCCTTTTTTTTCCCGCCGATCGCAGGATATTTGTTGGCCCCTCAACCCATTTCGTATCGCGTTGAATCGTATGATTCGTTTATTATCTCATTCCCCGCGTCCAATTAGTCCAGTTGATATCAACGGCTAATTTGTAAGGGTCAGCGAGAAGTACAGTATTATTCGAAACGATCAAAATGACCTAATTACAAAGCGCATCGCGCGAAATCGATAGTCCTCGCGGCGTTCGGCACGCCGGAAACATCGAGTGAAAACGCGGAAGATCCGGATTCTCCCGCCTTTCCTTTTCATTTAATTAATCCACGCGGATAGCGCGCGTCAGAGGCCAATTACCGTCGCGTTACGTCGTTGGGAAGGTGGCCGGAAGCGGCAGGATAACGGCGCGGAGGTGCGGCCGCATTTCGTGTCGGGCGTAACACTAATTCTACGCAATTCAATCGGTTCCGTGCATTATCATAATCGATGTTTCGTTAGCATAATGAAACGATACTGACCGTTACGAAATGGAGCGGCCGCACGGAACCCAGCGATCGCCGGCGTGCCATGTCGCGCGAGCAACAGTCTGCGAGATTAAAATTCAGCCCGATTCGACGCGAAAGTTCCATCGCGAGGAGCTCCCGCCGCGTCACAATTGCACGGCGATTACGCGCTGCGTTCCTCGGAATCCTGCGATTCCCGATCGAGGAGTCGCCCTCGAAATTCCCGTCGAGCTTCCGCCACGCCGGAAACGTCTCTCCGCGTTCTGAGACAATTATCGCGATCCGCGCGCGTCAATTGCGTCGATCAGCGATCGTCCCATCGCAGCGCGCTTCGCTCCGACACTTACGAACGCGCGCGCTCCTAGACGGAAGCCCGCTCGCAGACGAGCGAGGATTACGCGAGAGAATATTTATTTTCCCCGGAGGAACGGTAAGCTATTCCCGTCGGTGGTCCTCGCGAGAGCTAACCCACCGACAGTGAATGCCAGATAGCGAAATCCTTGCGCGCGCGGTACACGGGACAGACATAAAGCTTGTTAGAATGGAATTTCACCGCGCTTAATGTTCTGTAAGTCTGGCCTGAAATAAATACGACGAAGTCGTACTTCCCGACGATATATTCCATCACAATATCGCCGGACAGCTTTACGAGTCGTGGAATTCCATTAAATTCTCACTCCAACAGTTTTTATCGTTCGCCGCGTTCACGCCGATGATCTATAAGCGACCCTAAAGGACGGGACAATGAGAAACAACGTTGCCATTCGAATTCGCGTCGTCGTTCAAACCTGCAAGCTGAAAGATCCGAGTATCACGGAAGCCGAGTCAGCTCGAAATACGCTGCTCGAACGCTTTAATAACCGAACACGATCCGAGCCGGGTATCAAGCGGCGCTAGGATTCTCCAGCCAGCGAAGCTGATCCTCCCGATTCCGACTCGCGCGTCTGAGCGTCGAACGAGCAGTCGGCTTCTGATTACGTCGTGTCATTTACTCTCGCCGGAGTACGTCGGAGCGCGAGTATCGCAGGGCGTGGCGCGGCAGGGTTCGCGGCGCGACAAGGTCAAGTCTAGGAGGGTTGGCCGGGGGGGGCAGAAAATTAGGGAGATAGTTCTTCGGTGTCAGCCGAGGATCCTGGCCAGCCGCCAAGCAACCCCCGGCGCTATTTCGGTTTTCGCCTGGCTGTTCCGCGCCCGAAATTCCTGGCTCCTATCCTTCCGTGCGCTCTATCTAACGCGTCTAGGCGGCGCGATCCTCGCGCGTATATCTCCGGCCACGCCGGAGCCACGAGGCCAGCCGACTTCCTCTTCGTTTTCAGCCTTCCGGCCCGCCGCTGCTCGGCACTGGCCGAGTTCCGAATATACTGGCCCTCTGCTGCTCCGCGATTTATGCTATTTTCCGCGCTATGCTTATCGCCCCCCCAGTATCGCTCTATATCCGCCGTCGCGGAAGGCTTTTGGCCGGCAGCCCCCAGCGGCAGCCGGATGCACACGGTGCTCCGTTGGACCGAAACGCGGTAATGTCTTGTAATCCGTTAGGGATCCGGGGATCTTGTCGCCGAGGGTGCAGATTGTTTGCTTGTAACGCATCGGATTCGCATTAGGTCTACGCGTCTTTTCCAGTAATTGTCTACCTTCCGGTATCGAAGACACCTACTTAGAGGAGCATTTGCGATCACGCTCGAGTGTCTACGAAGTTTCCTTAGTCTTTTCTCAACCCCTTGTCGTATGATTTATTTCCTAACTTGTTCAAACTTTGTCGCTAATGCTTCAGTAGGAAAGCAAAATAATTTTATATTCTATGCAAACGCTTGCAAGCGTCAAAGCTCGGTAGTAGGTGATAATTCGTGTTCGACGTAAATAACATTCAGATCGAATTCGACATTTTCGCGAGTCTGACGCGTTATTGTAAAGGGGTTAAGGAACAGTCCCAGGAGTCGGGTGCGGGAGCACCTCGAGCGTTGAAAGTAGGGAAGCGTACAGTCACGCTGCGGTCCTGTGTTATTATTTCCTGTACTACTTTCTAGCAGATATTCCTATATCAGCGAATGCATCGGGTCGCAGTGCGATTGCCAACGAGGAGAAGGGAACACGTAAAAATTGAAAGAAACCAGAAGTCGTTGCCGAAGGCTTAGCTAAAAGCGACCGAGAGGCCACCGTCGATCGATCGATCGATCGCAGGCCGGTTCCCTGCATTCGCTCCGATCTCGCAGCGGCCGCCGTCCATTATTCATCTGCAACAGATTCGTCGCGGCGACCGAGAGAGCCCGATTGAAATTCACCACGGCGAGAGAGCTCCTTGCCGTGCGAGCGGACCGCCGCCCGGCCGACGCCGATATCGAAATTCGAGCCTCGAACGGTATCGAACATGTGCGCCGTCGCCTTTGGCCGTGATTGAAATGAATACGCGTGAACGCTGCTCCCGCGGGACGGGGGTGGGTGGTTTCGAGCGGACCGTTACGGCGCGTCTGCGACGCTCGCCGGAACGTAATAAGATCGGCCGGCGCGAGAAGAGCGCGGTGCTCGAGCCATTCGAAACGAGAAACACGGCCCCACGTATGATCGTAACTTTGGCGCGAATTCCTTATCGAAAGGCGAAGGAGCGTCGACGGATCCCGATATTCGTTGCCGCGTGCGGTACGCGGCCGGCCATTCCGCGGAATGATTTCTTGTTCCCGGAGAGCTGCGCGTGTTTTACGGGATGTTTCTCGCCGGATCCGACGGGGATTACCAACGCGAGAAGCCGGAGAGGAGTTCCGACCAGCTGCGAAACGAGTTGTCCGCGATTATTAGTATGGTGCGCGCCGGATGTTCGGATGTTTGCGAGATTTTAAGGCCGCGAGTGTCGCGCCCGCTCGGCGCTCGTTACGAAAAATTTGCTCGTTCGCCGGTGTTCCGGGAGATAAAAGGATGGAATTAATTTTCGTGTATTCGCCGTGGTTCGGGTGATGCAGCTTACTCGGTAGACCTCGGTGTTTGCGCTCTTTTGTCTGGCTCAATTCGTTCCATTTCTATCCGCGATTGTTATGTAGCGTTCATACTGTTATTCTTTCTCTTTGTAATGTTCCTCTGATTCCTGTGGTCTCGTTACCTACGTCGTTTATCACTCGGTGTCGTTAATACGAAGACCTTCATTCCTTTAACGCGACAATAAGTAGATTCAGTCTGTATCTGGTTAGCCCAATTTCCTCGTGTTTCCAGCGACGCTGTTGTATTCGAGAGAGTACGCGAACGTTCTCAGCAAACTGGCCCTTATCGGCGAGCGCGGAAAGTATCCTCGAAAGTTGCTTAACTCGAATACTTCTGACCGAATACGTTCGAGGACCACGACCCGGAGGAGTCGTCCGGGGCGAGGTTTGATTCACGATCGGCTAAACGAGAGAAGAAACCTCGCCGCGTCGTTCGCTCGGAAACGGGCCGCTAACGGGCACGTGGAAGTGCTGTCACGGCGGAGCCCCTTTTGTCGAGCTTAAGTATTAAAGTCCCCGCGGCCCGGCGCCCTTATCACAATCGTGAGGAAACTTGCCGGACAAAAGGGGTGCACGCGTCGGGGACGAGGATGGAACGCGCGGACCCGATGGGACACCGATCTCCCTCTCGCGGACACGACGACCGCTTCGGGCAATTGTCTGAACGGATCCTTTCAACCCTTCAGTCGTTTCGCCGGGGCTTTTATTAAAAAGTTCCGCCGGACCGGGAATTACAGACGGGGTTAATAGGAGCCGGACTTTAATTTTTTAATCCCGTAATTAATTCCCCGTACGCGCGGAATTCCCGTGCCCCCGACAATGGCCCATTCAATCCGCGCAAAAATAATCCCTGGACCGAGGAACGGGTTATTCGGAACTGTTCGCCGGGTTGGGCCGCTTCGTAACGATGTTCGTGTGGCTTTGCTGGCGCTTTCGCGCGAAAGCTTTCGGTTCAGACGCTTCGGATCGTCTTCCACCTCTTGGCTACTGTTGCTCCAAGCGCGTTGAACGTTTGCTTTCGGTACACCGTTAGCGTCGTGAAGCGTCATTGACGATCATAGCGAAGCTTGCTTAGACGCGAGTGAATTCTAATTCGACAATTACGTCTTCCGTTGGTCGTACATTATGTAAATGTGATTTTCAGATTGGTTTAATTCGATTCAATTCGACGTTCTCGCGGTTTCGATACACTGTCTTTGGAATATATGCTGTCGCGACATTCTGGCGTAGCCGAACGGTTAACGCTGGGTTCACTGAACGCGATTTCACGCATATTTGCATTTCAGAAGCGTCATTTGGTAAATTTGATCGACGCGATTGTACGAGTATGAACGAATACATGCCAATCGTCTATTTTCGAGCCTCTAGTTTCCAAGATCTGAACGACCACCTTCTCGAAGCAATGATATAAGCTACACAACGAGTGCAAAGATTAAACGGAGATGATTTCAGTGTCCGATGAATTGTATTTCCCGATTGCCAACAGATGAAAATTAATCAATCCTCTCTCATCTCCGCCGTCGTTACGAATACCGAGCCTATCTGCCGGCATCGTCGTTAGCTCGAGAATAGCGCCACTCGCCAGACAAGAAATTAACGCCTCCGATATCAAAGGAGGCGGACTCGAGTGCCGTGCCTGCGATCGAAGATCAAGGCGTTCTTCGGAGCGCTTGTCAAGAAAAACCGCTCGAAAATTCCCGACCCGAGGACGGTGGCGCGCGCTCAAAGACATTCTCGGGAGCGATCGCGATTTTCGTTCCACTTGTTCCCTATCCGGAGCACGTGTCGCTGCCCGCTGGTTCCTAGTTATTCCGATCGCGCGTCTATTTCGAAGAGCGACGACGTTCCCCGACGGGAGGAACGCCGAGTCCTCCCGCCGATCGGGAGTAGCCGCTCAGCGGCGGGAAAATAACGGCGGACTGCGAGAAGAAACTTAATCGCGCTCGGGGCAATCAGCCGGCACTCTTTAATCTCAAAGCATCGTCCTCGTTCCGGCCCAATAACCTCCTGCGCTGCTTCCTCCGGCGCAATTTCGTCCCCGGCGCTCTGTAATTAGCATCCGCAATTCGCCGGATAATCCGATTCTGGTCAGATCGTCGCCGGCGAAAATCCATGGCGTCAAATTGCCAGGCGCGGCGACGCGTCGCCTCTCGTCAGGTTTCTTTCATGAATCTCTGCCGCGCTCTTCCCGCCGCCCTGTATTTATTCCCGAGCTTTCAATGGGACGGAAGCTTCCGACTCTCTTCCGCCGTGCTCCGTTGCTGCCGAGTCAAGGTTCTCGTTAGACCCGGACGTTCTTTAATTAGGTTCGCCGTATGCCGTTGATAAACAAATCCCCGATTTTATGTAGTCTATTAACTCATCTATTAACTCATTCGCGGATAAGTTGGAGACGTCAATCTTCCGCTGTAATTTTCACCGTTAAACGGTTCCTCGGTCTCTCCACCGAAAGGTTTCCCGTCTGAAATTTGTAACGGAGCTTCCCGAGCGCGGTTATAAATTGTAGATCACGATCAGCCGCGTAACTCGTCAACGGAGGCGGTTTGAAGGAGCCACCCAGCCGGCTCACCGAACACGATCGGGATACGTGATGGTGGTTGAAAGCAGTTAAAAGAACCGGAAGAATAATTAATGCCCGTCACGTTCTCCCCCGGCAGTACGGGGCCGATACACGTATACCTCGCGATCGAACTTCCATCGCCCGCGGCTGAAAAGTTGCGAACTTTCACGGGCGCCGTAGGTACCCGGCTCCTTTCGACCACCGTCGCATCGATACTTGGTTCTTCGACGCTCGACATTACAATTCAGCCACTCGGTGTTAATCACGAATGTAATCGTAACTAGAGAAATATTTACCGCCGACACGAATACTCTTCGATAAAGAATATTTCTGACACCCCTAACCAACGCGTTAGCGCCCATGATTCTATCGTCGCGTTCATAATATCGAACATATTCTCTCTCGAACGAGTATCTTCGTTTCATCTGAACACACCTTGATACAAAGCGAAAGATAACCCAGCGAGTCGCCAATCCTCCAAGAGAATCAAGCGTAAAACGGAAATCGATCGTAAAAGCTGTCAGAGTTCGATCAGCCGAGCATTCCATCGACGAACGGATTCCAACGAACGGCGCAGCGTGCGAGGAAACTTTGAAACGTTAAAAACTCCGTCCGCCCGCGCGCATATCGATCTCCGCGCACCATGTGCGCTGGATTAAGCTCGCGAATCGCCGATAAGCCCGGCATTAAGCGGTGTCCGTATGAATAATGAAGATGTTTTAACGAAGCCGGAGTCGAGCTGTCGCGCGTACGTCGCGGGAGAAAAAGGATCCGCGCGGTGTCGCGGGAGGATCGCGTCCGGACGAACGCTCGCGGCGCCGTTAACCGCCGGACAGGATTTATGCGCTCGCGCCGGGACTCGCCGCACGTTTGCTTGAGGAATTAGCTCGGGTTCCACGGTGAAACGCGCTATCTATTAGCCCCGAGAAGTATGCGCCGGCCGAGTCTCGACAGCAGAAGCGAACGAGGTAATCCCGATCGTTAATTTCCCGGAGGAATCGATAAATAAGCGCCGCGGCCGATCCGAGGATTTACAGAATACTTACGACGGCGGGACACATGGGCCACATTCGGCTGCGCGCCGATGTCACGGGAGTTTCGTTGAATGATTGCAGCGAGGAGGACTTCATGTCCGATCGATACTCGTGCTCATGGATTATTAATACCCGGGGTTGATGTGGTTCTGCGTCATTTAGGGTTGGGGAGCGTATCTTTAGGATGCGCGGTTAATACAGGCGGTTTAAAATATATTCATGGAGCCGCGTGTCGTCATGTGTTTATTATTAGGCTGATTGTTTAATTTTACGGCGAGAACGGGTGAGACCGGGTTCTATGAATACTTGGAAATTATAGTTGATTTCGATTTCTTCTTCTTCTAAGCAGCGTTCTTAAGGATCAGTGAGTTACTGATAGTATTGGCCGGGTTTAGAGGAGGAATACATTTATGTATCTTCCACTTAAGAGCAACCTGTATATCAAATAACCGTATCGCGTTCCACAATTGCAGTATACAAGTTCGTAACTCCGCAGCCCGGTATTCGTTACCATCTCCGACACAAATATCAGCCGAATGTTTCGGAAATTTGCGTGGAACTGTCGGCTTCCCCCTGTTAACACGAAGCCGAAATAACCCCGCATCCAGCGACGAGGGTTAATACCGGCGTCGGTGAAACTTGTTTCCCGAACAGCGGTGTCCGTGTAGCAGCCGCGAGTGTCGTGATCGTCAAACTTACGATAGACGGTCTGCAGGTGACGATGAAACGCGTTTAACAAGCGGAACTCGTTGGCCGGGGTTAGCGTCGCGCGAAAATAAAGAATTAAAAGAGACTGGAAGCTAGGGGAGACGAGAAATCGGCTACTGGGGTTCTAATTTAGGTTCGGATCACGTTCGACAAGCGAAGTTCGTTTGCAAAGGCCAGCTGCGCGTGTAAATCAAGTGTCAAAGGAAACCAGAAGCCGAAAGGAAAGGGAAAAGCGAGGACTCACCAGGTTCTCCGCGAAGAACGCGTCCTCGTGGTGCTTCGTGGGCAGGTCCAGGAAAACCGAGGACCTGGAGCGATCGTAAAGATCCACGTCCACGTAGAAGTCGAAGAGCGGCGCGCCGTTCACCCTCAACAGCCTCGACACCAGCGGCGTGATGTCGGCCGGCGCGATGTTCCTCGGGGGTATATAGCCGCCGAGTTCGCGTAGCAGCTCGTAAACTGAAACAAACGGTCGTAAGCAAGTTTTAACGAGGTTCGACCGACGGCGATACGTGTCGATGGCACGCCGGTTCCTCGTGTCTCGCGGCATCCGACAAGAACGAGAAACCTAAAACAATCTTGGCGGACAGAGAAAGAAGTGAAACGAGAGACGTTGATTACTTGTGGCCGTTGACACGCGGAAATTCACGAATGCATTACGCGGAGCTTAGCCTGTTACAACAACGCATCAGACTCTGAAGGTTTTAAACAGAATTTAATAAGCATAAGTGTTATGCAATTCTCTCGAATGCAAATTAGATATCTTCTGTCATCAATTGTTATACTTCGGAGAAGAGATATCCATGGAGTATGCAGAGTTCTGTTCTGTCGCTTGATCAATTATTAATTACAGCGTGTGTGTACCGATCATAATTAAGAAGTAAGGAGTCTCTCGACTGCAATTAATGTTCTACACAAGATTATAATATCGCTGTCTCCGATCAAGTAGTAACAGCGTCGCCTCTGAAGTGCAACGCAACCTCCGGTAGCTTTGAGTTAGAGACTAGATTCTTCTCCGCAGATGTTCCGTATCACGAGACGCCACGATAAATTATCAATAACGCCGAACACATCGCGCGCATCCATTCTCAAGATCAACAACGCTCTCATCCCGTTCCGCGGTCTCTCCGAAGGACAATGTTCTTTGGATGTCGGTGTGCGCGCCAATGGGAAGTTGTTTTCCTCGAGCCACCCGATGATGGACGACCGCCGAAAACGCGACCAGCGGGAGTCGCACACTCCGCAATCTAATAAATTTCATCGGACGATTGTTTATCGAGCGTATCGCTGCTAATCGTAAGTTCTCGCCGGGCTAACACTTCGGTAAACATTGATAATTGCGATTCAACCGGGTTTACCCGCGAGTAATTGCCGTTTATCCATAGCCAGTCGGCCGTGTGCTTTAACCGGGCGTGATGATAAGGCTCGGGGTGAAGGGGTCGCGGAGGATCATCGGCGAAATGTCACTCGCGCGTGCGCTCGCGCCCCTTTCGCCGGTTCGCGACAGTTTTAACGTAGTGCGCCACTTTGAACGATCCGAAGACGGGAACGTAAGATAATCTTAGCGAAAGTCGACTGCGTTTCGTCGATCGGTGCATTCTTAACACTGAAACTACCCTTATTTCTTCTTCTTGCAATTGTTCAACGGGTAATAGCAGTTTTCCCGAGAAACTATTAAAGAAATTGATTTAGCAATGCGCAAATTGGATTAGTCAAAAGTCTCGATAGACGCACTTTTGGAGTTTCTACAGAGAAATTTCCAAAAGTCAATTCAACTGCTTGGTAGTTTTAGCGTTGAGGCGAAGCATCCCAGAATCTCGGTGCGCGACGAGCAGACTGCCGTTCTCAGCGTATTCTCTCAGTAGCCTCCGAGCGAGGAACATCAGAAAAGTAGTAATATTCAAAGCAAGTTTCCACCATTTTATTTCGCGCCCGTAATATCCTGCCCGACAGAAAATTCTCTTTCCGTTCTCTTTGAACTTGAGCGTGTTTGAAATATTGCGGTAGGAAAACATGGAACCTGTCCTGAGCAGTTTTTAACGAACACATAGAGTTCAGTTTATTAAAGACGAGGAAGTAAAATTCAAGCCACCCACATTAAAGTCGGCACGCTTCCATTTACGAATCAACGAAACTCTCCGATTTCTCGCTGTCGAACAGAGGAATGGCCCTTCCTCTCGCATCCTCTATTCCGCGCGAACATTCGCGTTTGAAAATTGCAAGACAAAGTGTACAAACTTATACTTGCGCCAGGATAAAGCAAAGCTTCCGTTAATTGCCAATGAAAGCGGCATTAATTTTTAAACTAGCCGGAGAGTCGCGCGGCCCCGGGTAAACGGCGGAATTCAATTTAAACTTGCCGCGAAATTTCCAAGAAACAATCAATTTCCCGGGTCGCAGGGGACGGCGTCGCGAAGTTGCGTCGTCGACGCGAATTCCGCGCGATCTGGCTGGTCCCGCGACGGGGATAAAATGTCTGCGCGGCGGCGTTCTGTTATTCGTTAGGCGGCCATTCGTCATCCCGCCGGCCATTTTGTTACGCGGCGGGACACGCTCGAAGCGCGCGGCCTCTCTCTCTCTCTCTCTCACTCCGGACCGCGGCGAGTAAGCGGAGAAAGCTGAAGGGGAGGGAGAAAAGCAGAAAGAACGGACGCAGAATTAAAAAAAGAAACCGTAAGTCCCCGCGCGAGATGGCGTGTCGCGCGCGATAACGATCGCAATATAATACGGCCGCTTATAACATCATTGCCGGCGGCGGCTTATCCGGCCCGCCGATCACTCCGATTCATAATACAATTTATTCGCACGAGGACCGCGCGAATCGAAACGGACGCGTTTAGCCGCGCGATCGCGTTCCCCTTGAACGGGGCTTTCCCTTCCGAGTCGAGGGCGTCCCGTTAGCGTCACGAACGGCGAGTAAAGTGACCCGAGTGATCTCGAAACCGAGATTTACCCGCGCGGAACGACAGTTCGCGGAGTTTGATCGGCGGGCAACGGGACCTTGAAAGCTTGATCGGTCATCGTGAACCCACCGCTGAAGCCACTTCGTCTAGGAAACCGACGAGTTCACCCCTTGCCCTATGATTTCCCCCGCGAATAATAGAACGATCGCATTCGTTGATAATTTACTGGAAACACAGGAGTTTTCTATATTTTCAACTCAGAATCGTAGAATGACATTTAGATCTCATTTCTATTGGCGCTCGCCTTCGAATCGCTCGGAATAAGATTACTCCTGCACGCGTAGCGGGTTGATCTCTCTATAGCTACATATTTTATTAAGAACTCACCCCTTCCGGCTCCTAACCCGAGCGAAACGTTTCTCCGGCCGCGACGTCAACGATATTTCACGCGAAATTATCCGAGGCTCTCTCGTCTGAGAAACGCCGGAGAATTTCGATTAGAGGCTCGGCTATCCAGCGCCGGGAACATCCCGGGCGCCATTAACGGTCGGCCGAGAGGGGCTGTTCGAGGACAGAGGGCGGCGGGGAATGTATCCGTGCTCTCGAAATCCGCAAGTTCGCCGTTAAGTAAAGCTTCGCGTGATTTCAATCGCGCCGAACAATCGCGCGGGGTCGCGTTATATGTATATACGGAATCGACATAAACCGCCGCTCTCCTGTCCTCCGATTCCTCGAAACCCTCAGACCCGTCCCAGCCGCCCTCCTCCTCCTCCTCCGCCGCCCTCTCTGTACGTTACATCTATATCCTTTCGTGACGCAAGCCGCACGCGCCGGTCGGATTGCTTTCGATCGCCGCCCGAAATTCTCCGCTCTCGCATTGTCCCGTCGCGCTTTTGCCTTTGAAAGCGATCGCAACAGGAGGGCTCGCGCCGAATAAGAGTATTCGATAATGCAAGTCACTAGATAACAGCGTAACGCAACAACTGCACGCGACAGTGAACGTACCAACTGTTTCTTCGAATCAACCCTTTGCACTCGGAAGCTTTTCGCGAGAAATATTCAACAGTTTCCAATAAGGCATAGACGACATGTGAAACGAAGTAATGAGGAAACATACGTAAATTAAGAAAGAGCTATTTTATATAAATGTTTCATGTATCGATGCATTACACGAAACTTGATATTATATATAACACTTTGTAATTTTGTTAAAAGGGTCAACACGTCGAGTACACGATTTCATCGAGTCGAACACCGAAAACGGTAAAACTACAGTATCAAATCATTCGATTGAATCGCGTCGTTATTGTTGCACGATCTAGCTGAACGTCATCGCGTTAGGTAGCATCGGTTGTAACGTAGAATTGTTTTCGAACAATGATCGTTTAATTGAGCGAACTATAGTGATCCGATTTGGTTGGGAGTCACCCATGGCATTCAACGCGTTTAACCGCAAATTACAGCTGATCGGAGGCTGGCGTGCGTGCGCGCGCGCGCGCGCGGTGCCGCGAACGGTTTGAACGCTTGCGAAGGGATCGTTGTTTGTCCTCGAGGTCGGGAGGGACGGGCGCGCGGGTACTCCCGCGGGTTTTCGGAGTCCGCGCGACGCCGGAGAAGAATTTATAGGTTTCGAGAACGAGAGTCGGTCGCTGGGTTTTAATAAAGTAAATGCGTATCGATTCGCGCCGAGTGTCCCGGACCGGAGGAACCCTTTCGGCGGGACGAAATTCTCGGGGCCGCGGAGTTCGCCGGAACTGCAATCGGATCGCGCGCTAAGAGCGGCGATTAAAATGTAACTGTTCATTTCGTTGATAGTCGTCCGCCGCGATCGTTTGAACTCGCCGCAATTACTTTGATTGTGATTGTACGCCGATGACGGTTATCGATCGCGGGAACGAAGCTCGCGGTGGAACGAATCGTTACATTTCAATCAGTGTCCGCGGGTTTCGTGCATTTATTAGCTTCGGACGTTCGGCTCTCCTTCCTCCTTACAATCGATCGATGCTCCATTTGAAATTCGAACGATCCTCGTTTCCCGGACACACCGTTCTCGCCTCGAAGAAACTAATGGCCCCCAGAAGCTTCCGCTTCTTCCTGATTAGGAGTACACGCGGGACGGAATTCCATATCGCTTCTAATCCTTGCGGGCGGTAATTAGAGGCGCCACCTTAACGAGATACCACGCGCGACGCGTCCGTGCCGCTCGACTGAATACCGTGCGCCAGCCGGCGCGGAGCCCGGGAGCGGATCGAAAACGCGTGAACCCCGGAACGCCGAGAGTGCCGCGCGATGGAAACAATCCGGAAGTTCCATTTCCGTTACCCACAGTCTTCCCCGACCGCCTCGGCACGGGAATTCAATCGAGATAGGGGCCGGCCACGGCTTCGAAATTAACCGCGGCCGACCGGATTAATTCGCGTCTTCGACACCCTCGAATTTCCGGCCATTGTGGAGCCACTGTCGTTCGCTGAAACTTCTCGGGCGCAATCTCTGCCTTTAACCCCTTTGCCCCCTATATTTTGTAAAATCAACTCGACGAGAAATTCACGCGAATCG